GTTAAAAAGGCATAGCCGGGAATCGAACCGAATACATCTGCATTGTGAATATGTCTTATCCACAAGACCACTTTTGCTTCACTGTAAATAACTTGTTCGGTTCAAAATGTTAATTCTTTCTGATGTTAATGACTTTAAAAAATATGCTGATCAACTAATTTTACTCATTTGTTGAGGAAGAGGGGGTGGCCTCTAAACAAAAAAAAAGAAGGAAAAATAAAAAGGAAGAAAGAAATGCTTAAGAAAACACAAGTTAAAAAGGCATAGCCGGGAATCGAACCGAATACATCTGCATTGTGAATATGTCTTATCCACAAGACCACTTGTGCTTCACTGTTATTAACTTGTTCGGTTCAAGATGTTAACACTTTCTGATGTAAATGACATTAAAAAATATGCTGATTAACTAATTTGACTCCTTTGTTGAGGAAGAGGGGGTGGCCCCTAAACAAACAAAAAAGAAGGAAAAATCAATAGGAAGAAAAAAATGGTTAAGAAAACCCGAGTTAAAAAGGCATAGCCGGGAATCGAACCGAGTACATCTGCATTGTGAATGGATGTCTTATCCACAAGACCACTTGTGCTTCACTGTTATTAACTTGTTCGGTTCAAGATGTTAACACTTTCTGATGTTAATGACATTAAAAATTATGCTGATTAACTAAGTTTACTCCTTTGTTGAGGAAGAGGGGGTGGCCCCTAAACAAAAAAAAAGAAGGAAAATCAATAGGAAGAAAAAAATATTTAAAAAAACACGAGTTAAAAAGGCTTAGCTGGGAATCGAACCGAGTACATCTGCATTGTGAATGGATGTCTTATCCAAAAGACCACTTGTGCTTCACTGTTATTAACTTGTTCGGTTCAAGATGTTAACACTTTCTGATGTAAACGACATAAAAAAAAATATGCTGATTAACTAATTTTACTCCTTTGTTGCGGAAGAGGGGTGGCCTCTTAACAGAAAAAAAGAAGGAAAAATAAAAAGTAAGAAAAAAATGCTTAAGAAAACACGAGTTAAAAAGGCATAGCCGGGAATCGAACCGAGTACATCTGCATTGTGAATGGATGTCTTATCCACAAGACCACTTGTGCTTCACTGTTATTAACTTGTTCGGTTCAAGATGTTAACACTTTCTGATGTAAATGACATTAAAAAATATGCTGATTAACTAATTTTACTCCTTTGTTGAGGAGGAGGGGGTGGCCCATAAACAAAACAAAAAAAGAAGGAAAAATAAAAAGGAAAAAAGAAATGCTTAAGAAAACACGAGTTAAAAAGGCATAGCCGGGAATCGAACCGAATACATCTGCATTGTGAATATGTCTTATCCACAAGACCACTTTTGCTTCACTGTAAATAACTTGTTCGGTTCAAAATGTTAATTCTTTCTGATGTTAATGACTTTAAAAAATATGCTGATAAACTAATTTTACTCATTTGTTGAGGAAGAGGGGGTGGCCCCTAAACAAAAAAAAAGAAGGAAAAATCAATAGGAAGAAAAAAATGCTTAAGAAAGCACGAGTTAAAAAGGCATAGCCGAAATCGAACCGAGTACATCTGCATTGTGAAGCGATGTCTTATCCACAAGACCACTTTTGCCTCACTGATATTATCTTGTTCGGTTCAAGATGTTAACACTATCTGATGTTAATGACTTTAAAAAATATGCTGATGAACTAAGTTTACTCCTTTGTTGCGGAAGAGGGGTGGCCTCTTAACAGAAAAAAAGAAGGAAAAATAAAAAGGAAGAAAAAAATGCTGAAGAAAACAAGAGTTAAAAAGGCATAGCCGGGAATCGAACCGAGTACATCTGCATTGTGAATGGATGTCTTATCCACAAGACCACTTGTGCTTCACTGTTATTAACTTGTTCGGTTCAAGATGTTAACACTTTCTGATGTAAATGACATTAAAAAATATGCTGATTAACTAATTTTACTCCTTTGTTGAGGAGGAGGGGGTGGCCCCTAAACAAAACAAAAAAAAGAAGGAAAAATAAAAAGGAAGAAAGAAATGCTTAAGAAAACACGAGTTAAAAAGGCATAGCCGGGAATCGAACCGAATACATCTGCATTGTGAATATGTCTTATCCACAAGACCACTTGTGCTTCACTGTTATAAACTTGTTCGGTTCAAGATGTTAACACTTTCTGATGTAAATGACATTAAAAAATATTCTGATTAACTAATTTGACTCCTTTGTTGAGGAAGAGGGGGTGGCCCCTAAACAAACAAAAAAGAAGGAAAAATCAATAGGAAGAAAAAAATGCTTAAGAAAACACGAGTTAAAAAGGCATAGCCGAGAATCGAACCGAGTACATCTGCATTGTGAAGCGATGTGTTATCCACAAGACCACTTTTGCTTCACTGATATTATCTTGTTCGGTTCAAGATGTTAACATTTTCTGATGTTAATGACTTTAAAAAATATGCTGATGAACTAAGTTTACTCCTTTGTTGAGGAAGAGGGGGTGGCCCCTAAACAAAAAAAAAGAAGGAAAAATCAATAGGAAGAAAAAAAATGCTTAAGAAAACACGAGTTAAAAAGGCATAGCCGAGAATCGAACCAAGTACATTTGCATTGTGAAGCGATGTCTTATACACAAGACCACTTGTGCTTCACTGTTGTTAACTTTTTCGGTTCGCACACCAGTCACCTTTGCTTGCAGAAGAACGTGCGTGCGCGTGCTTACCACGTGTACATGTACGTGTAGGCGCGATTCACATTTTCATAATGAAAACAATTTTACGGATTAAAAAAAGTTTGTGAAACGCCTCGATACAAACTATTTCAAGGCGGACGAGAAACGGCTAACGAGAAGCAAGCACAGTGAACACAGAATCAATGTTATTAACAAAAGTAACGAGAAATAATGATAATAAAGGTAATAATGATGACACTATAAGTTCTTTGTATTGATAAAACAATATTTATTAAAAATGTCATCCGTTGACAGAGAACTAGAATAAGAAGGATGAATAATGATAAACAATTAATTTTGAGTGGGAAAAATGAAGAAAAACAATGAGCAAGGAAGAAGAATGTGTGAAGTAAAGATTGATAAATAATGATAGAGCAATTGAAAAAAGGAGTAATAAAAGTAATAATAAAAAACACTTATGAAAGCAAGGAAGAAGAATAAGGATGATGAATAATTTTATTGTTTAAAATAAGATTAGAAATTAAAGATAAAGGTTAGTTCTGGTAATGCGATTGCATTGTGAAAGAAAAGGTGTGGAATGGATCAGAAACAGTTGATCATGTAGCATGTAATTATTGGTGTGCACTGCAAGGTTCTGGAGTCATCAAAATCATAATAAATTTGGCCGAGTCTTGGTAAAGTAACAAGCACTGTACACAGAAAGCTATATGAGGGACAACACACATGGTGTCGGGGCTAGTTCTACCTTGATTTCCTTGTCTTTCTTTGCTCATTACTCAGCCAGTATACATTTTCTTCCAAAATTGTTTGGCACATGTCATTTATTTGTAATCTTGAACATTCAGTGTAAGTTTCGTTTGATTCTGTGAGAATTATTTTTTTTTTTTACCAGAACTGAAGTTTATCTTTAAGTTTGATTATCATAAAATAAAAGTTAATAGTATTATAATTATGCTGGACCTTCGTTATTCAAGAAGCAATTATTATTATTAAAAAAAACATTTTAAAAATAAATTTTGTTATTACATTTTCTTTTACTTTTTGTTTGTTTAATATTTATATATATTTTCTTTTTGTTCAAGATGGTATGTTGTGTCTTTTTGCGTCGGTTTGACCTGTAGTCTAATAACACACGAGTCGCTATCTGCCGAGAGCTAGAGGGGGGATTGTAGTCGAGCTTTTCCAAAGGGCCGTCGGAAAATATTAATCGAAAGTCTTCAAAACTCTTAAAAGCCTTGAGTTTTCGACGATCATAAATGCATAGTCTGCCATATTCTCTACTAGATAATTGAATTCATCATAGATCCCAAAGTCAGGAATATCGTCAAACATAAGGGAGGTTTGTAACTATAGTTCACTAAATGAAAATCCTGCCCGTTGTGATTAGCCCACACACACTCACGTCTACTGAGTGACACGGGCCCCGTAGGTCAGGGGCTATGGGCAGGCTAATGTACGCCACCACGGAAGCTAATTTAACGAGTCTTTTCTCGGGTGTATACCGTGGTCAAAACTCCTCTTTTTCTAAGAAAATATTGCAGCTGCCTGAAACTCAGCTTGTTGAATGGCAAGTTGCAAGACATTTCCGGCCAAAACGGAAATTTATATATATAAACTCAGTTTTGATAGAAAGATATGAATGAAATTTAACAGCAAGAACCGACAGCCTAATACAAAATGCACAGATTCAATATTGCGGTACGGCAAAGCTTGACCGACCTAGTTACTACAGTTAACCGCGCGTTACGTAATCGCCGAAACTGGCCCATTGATTAGATTTTAGGGTCATGAGGTCAAAGGTCAAAAGTCATGGGGCCTATTATGTATTTTGGTTTGTAAAATCGCTCTGTGGCGGAGGCATTATTTTCGACTGCGCGCGGTCTAAGTTCCAGGCCTATATGATAGAATCCTATGAAAAGAGAAAGAGAGAGAGAGAGAGAAAGAAAGAAAAGAGTCCTCCAACAAAAAACAAAAATAATAAATATAATGATGATGATATTAATTGTTTAAAAAAAAAAGAACAAGAAAAGAACAAAGAAAGGATCAAATGATCATGAGTCGTAGCAGTTAGTAGTCTATGAGCAAAGAATTAATTTGGGTTTTGGATTCATGTCTGCAAAAGAGCATAGTGGACAGAGTGTTGGTCTTTGAAAGGATTAACCTTGGTTTAGTGCTTGTATAAGGTATTCTTTTGAATTACTCAGTCTCTCAGATAGGACTTAAAGCTGTTGATTCCTCAGAGCTTCAGAGAATAATAATATACATACTTCATTATATAATCGTTACATGATCCAAGCTTGAATTATTAAGGCGTATACAGCTGAATTGGCAGTGACGTGAGAGCAATTGTTCTGATATGTTCATTTGATAGTTCTGTTGTGGGAAGAGCATTGTGTAGTAAAACTACCTTACATCAAATAATAAATCTGCTTACCGTAATATTCCAAATTGTAGAAGAATCTGAGTACAAATCAAATTTTGATTTGTATGATGAAATTGCATCTACAGATGTTGCATTTTTTCCCCTTTCAATTTTTCAGAGCGTATGAAGCACTCAACGTCAAGCATGAAAATCTGTCGCTGATTCAACCCCGATTCGTGGTGCCCCTGCCTCCTCTTCAACCAGCGGTAAGTCTACATCACCACCATAATTTGAAACCAGTCAATATGTGGTTTTAGCTGATGATGAGAGTGACATGGTTTTAGGTGATGTTGATGGAGATGTGGTTTTAGCTGATGATGATGGAGGTGTGGTTTTAGCTGATGATGAGAGCAAAGTGGTTTTAGCTGATGATGAGAGTGACATGGTTTTAGCTGATGATGAGAGTGACATGGTTTTAGGTGATGATGATGGGGATGTGGTTTTAGCTGATGATGATTGGATGTGGTTTTAGCTGATGATGAGAGTGACATGGTTTTAGGTGATGATGATGGGGATGTGGTTTTAGCTGATGATGATTGGATGTGGTTTTAGCTGATGATGAGAGTGACATGGTTTTAGGTGATGATGATGGGGATGTGGTTTTAGCTGATGATGATTGGATGTGGTTTTAGCTGATGATGAGAGTGACATGGTTTTAGGTGATGATGATGGGGAGGTGGTTTTAGCTGATGATGAGAGTGACATGGTTTTAGGTGATGTTGATGGGGATGTGGTTTTAGCTGATGATGATGGAGGTGTGGTTTTAGCTGATGATGAGAGCAAAGTGGTTTTAGCTGATGATGAGAGTGACATGGTTTTAGCTGATGATGAGAGTGACATGGTTTTAGGTGATGATGATGGGGATGTGGTTTTAGATGATGATGATGGGAGGTGGTTTTAGCTGATGATGAGAATGACATGGTTTTAACTGATGATGGGAGGTGGTTTTAGCTGATGATGAGAGTGACATGGTTTCAGGTGATGTCGATGCGGATGTGGTTTTAGATGATGATGATGGGAGGTGGTTCTAGCTGATGATGATGTGGATAGGGTTTTAGCTGATGATGATGGGGAGGTGGTTTTAGCTGATGATGAGAGGGACATGTTTTTAGGTGATGTTGATGGGGATATCGTTTTAGATGATGATGATGGGAGGTGGTTCTAGCTGATGATGATGTGGATGGGGTTTTAGCTGATGATGAGAGTGACATAGTTTTAGGTGATGTTGATGGGGATGTGGTTTTAGATGGTGATGATGGGAGGTGGTTTTAGCTGATGATGAGAGTGACATGGTTTTAGCTGATGATGGGAGGTGGTTTTAGCTGATGATGAGAGTGACATGGTTTCAAGTGATGTTGATGCGGATGTGGTTTTAGATGATGATGATGATGGGAGGTGGTTCTAGCTGATGATGATGTGGATAGGGTTTTAGCTGATGATGAGAGTGACATGGTTTTAGCTGATGATGCTGGGGATGTGGTTTTAGCTGATGATGAGAGCGAGGTGGTTTTAGCTGACGATGAGAGTGACATGGTTTTAGCTGATATTGATCGGGATGTGGTTTTAGCTGATGATGAGAGTTACATGTTGTTAGCTGATGATGTGGGGGATGCGGTTTTAGATGATGATGGTGGTGATGTTTTTTAATTGGTCCTACACGAAAAGGCAAAGGCCCGACATGTCAAAACTGCTGCTTTTGGGGGCTAATCACTACAGGAGGCTGCAACCCTTGCCCTCCTTTTAAATATAGCTTTTTCATCTTCAAAACAAAGTAGTACCCGGAAGAAAAATATCTGGTCCTTTGAAATGCTTACAGCTTTGAACAACCCAAAAAAAATTCTGCCCATGGTGTATAACCCCTTCATAAGTTCTTCTAAACACAACTATTATAATCAATCTCTTTACCCGAAGGGCATACAAAACCATTCCATGTCATATCAGAACAAAGGCCTTTTTATGTAGACTCTTTCCCCCGCAGGTACTGAAGATCATCTGGAGTATTATGTTCATGAGTGTGGAGACATCTTAAACCATCAGCATGAAGCTACCGGCAGGCTCAACCGACGCTAAACACATTATGGAGCATGTCTTTGCACAGGTGTCGGAATTCAAGAAACTCAACCAAGTAAGATCATGAACAGGGAAATTCCCTGTTTAATGAGATATGGGATCATATTGTGTGAGAGCAGTATACCATGTTGGTAGTTTTCATTTAAAGATGACATATTTCTTTCTTGAAATGTTCCTGAACTTTCACTCTGCACTTATTCTTATGCCTCCGCTACAAAGTAGCCGGAGGCAGTATGTTTTCTGGTTGTCCGTCCGTCCGTACGTCCCGTTCTCGTGATCGCTTTATCTCAAGAACCAATTAATGGATTACCGCCAAACTTTGGTCATGTATGTATCTTGCAGAGCTAATGAAGTTATTAGATTTTGGGGTTACGAGGTCAAAAGTCACAGGGCTTATTACGTATGTAATAGCTTGTGATTGCGTTATCTCAAGAACCGATTAATAGATTCCCGCCAAACTTGGGTTTATCTGTACTCACTTATCTTTTTGTTTCAATTTCAATTTCATTTTGTTCATGTTTCCAACAAAACATTACGAAGCAATTATAAGCATTTAAAACAAATGTAGAAATACATGTTGGAAACAGACAGGTCCACTTAAAAGCAATGCTTGTATATGTGTGAACACCTCATGAGATACTAAATTGTAAAGTGCAGTATGCTCAAAATACCCACGTTCACCACAGCATTTGGGAACAAGCTGTATGTTGCATGGAAATTATAGCTGATCTTTGTTATGTAATAGTATTTTTCACTGATAACATTCTTTATTACACTTCTGGGCTCCTATTCACTTTACTTTTCATGGTTTGTCTATTAGGAAAATAATAAGATATTGAAATAAAGAGAGATGTAATATAATTTGTGTTCTCTTACTTTGTTCAGGCGACTGGAGTGCGTCTTTACACAGGGAACGTTGGAGCAGATGATGTTGATGTTGTAGACATGGCTTACAGGGTAGTGGCTGATCATATTCGCACATTGACCATAGCTCTCTTGGACGGAAGCTGGCCAGATAATGTTGGAAGAGGGTGAGTCCTTTTGAATGGATTTTCTAGCCCTCATTTGATCCTATTACAGTCTAATGGTTGGCAATACCTTACATGCCATACATTAAAATTACCTAAAGTTTGGTTCTATTTAACAACACATGGGATACATGGTGAAAATGGGGCACTTCTTACACCCTCAAAAAGAGGCACTCACCAGGCATGAAAAAAAGTCAGTCATGAGAATAGGAAATGGGCATTTGTCGACGGAAAAGGGCCCCCGATCAGATTTTGATAGGGGCATTTATAAGATATTATATATGTTATAAAGGGCAATTATAAGAGGTGAAAAGAAGCACTTATCGCACATGAAAAGGGGCAATGATCAGATATGAAAAGGGGCACTTGTAATAAAGGAAATTGTGCATTAGTTAAAATAAAATGGGCACCGATCATACTTTAAAGGGGCATTTATCGGAGGTAAAGGGGGCACTTATCTGAAGTGAAAAGGAGTAACATCTCGTACCTGAAAAGGGTCATTTACCAGAAAAGGGGCACTTATGAGAAGGAGAAGGGGCTCTTTTTTAATGGGGCACTTATCATTCGGAAAAGGGGCACTTATTAGAAAGGAAAAGGGCACTTGTCACATTAAAAGAGGCACGTACCTCTCAGATTTAATTACCAGAGGTGAAGGGGGCACTTATCAAAAGTAAAAAGAGGCACTTCTCGTACCTAACTGGGGGCACTTACTAGAGATTAAAAAGGGCACTTATGAAAATGGAAAATGGACACTGATTGCAACGTAAAACAGGGACCTGTAATAGGAAAAGGGGTACGTGTCTAAATAATAGGGGCACTTATCAGAGTTGAATATGGGAAGGGGCATTTTTACAAATTTATAGGGGCACTTGTCAAAGTACAAGAGGCACTAATCCTATGTAAAGAGGGGCACTTATTAAAAAGTTAAAGGGGCACTTTTCGGGTGCTTGAAAAAGTGGGAGAGCACTGTGCCCTCCCCCCCTGGGAGGGCCTCCTCTGTTCATAAGGACCGCTATTCATAACGTGGAACTTCCCATACCTGCAGGTCCGCTATTCATAACAGGATAAGAGGGTCACTATTCATAAAGAAATAAGGTCCATTAATCATAAGGACTGCATAATTTAAATTGGGTGTCAATACTTACAAGGACCGCTATTCATAATACCAAATGAGGTTCGGTATTCATAATATGAAATGAGGGTCGCTATTCATAATACGAAATGAGGGTCGCTATTCATAATACGAAATGAGGGTCGCTATTCATAATATGAAATGAGGATCGCTATTCATAATACGAGTAGGGGGTCGCTATCCATAATGAGAGAAGAGGGTCGCTATTCATAATACAGAATAGAGGGTCGCTATTCATAATACGAAATGAGGGTCGTTATTCATAATACGAAATGAGGGTCGCTATTCATAATACGAAATGAGGGTCGCTATTCATAATACGAAATGAGGGTCGCTATTCATAATACGAAATGAGGGTCACTATTCATAATAAGGAATAGAGGGTTGCTATTCATAATACGCAATGAGGGTCGCTATTGATAATAAGAAATGAGGGTCACCCTTCATAATAGGAGTAGGGGTCGCTAACTCGCTATTCATAATTCGAAACGAGGGTGCTATTCATAAAAGTTGAATAGGCCTAAGCAATAGACAAAATGCTAATAACAAAGGGAAATATTGGATGGAGGACACCCCACGGCTATGGTATAGCTTTGGGAGGGGGGGGGTAGGACACATGTCCCTGAATATTTGTCTTTTTTAAAAGTAGATTTATTCTACCTTTTATCTTTGATAATTTTATAGAGTGATGGTGACGAAAAAAAGAAATGAAACACGCATACAATCCTATCGTAATTTGTCCTCCGTGTTGGAAATCTTGCCCACCACCCTGCCCCCCCCCCCCGACTGATCTGATCCAGGCTACCCCACTGAGACATTAAAGGGATCGTTTTACAATGTTAAATCTGAGATATACGGCCCTACGTGTTGTCAATGTCTGTGATATGGTGTAATATTGAAGCCCTACAAAAATGTGCTTCAAAATGATCAAGAAGTGCCTGAAAAAAACAAAAAAACATGAGTGCCTGGTTTTACCATACTCGTTTTTCCAAATAGACTGTAGTGTTATGAAAACCGTTTGGCAAACGCAAAATTTGGTTTTGATTTCAAATCATAAATATCTTGATAATCAGACAGGCGATCGGCTTGTAAAAGTCATGGGGTTCATGACTGACCTAAAGGTTGATAATTATTATTGCAGCATGAGCTAAATCCAGGATTGTGTTTCAGAATCTGAGACAAAGTTACCGGATCCCTTTAAGTAGACGAAGCAGGCCATCATAATAGTTTTAAGGACTGAGTTTGCTATTAAATAAACTAGTAATTGTTTATTTGACAATATTTTTTTTGTAGAAAGTAGCTTTTGATAGGACTTATAAACCTTCAAATCATAAAGCGGGGTTGGACCGGACCATGAGCACTGCCCAGAAAGGGGTGAGAAGGGTGGGGGGGGGGCACTTTAGAATTATATTTTGTTTGAGGGATAGGGGGTTTGAACACTTTCGGACCTTGGAATGTTTTCACGTACAAAGAGGTAATGCAATCCGAATATGAACCAAATATTTATTGTCTTTTTTCTGTTGGGGTTGAGGACGAATGCGGTGGTGATGGGTAAGGTGGTCTGATAAGGTCTATATAGTGCAACTAAATAAAAGTAAATAATTCTGTGAGAAATTTGTTTTGCGTGACTGCTAAAGCATGTGTATGCTACTATGCTTATCAACTAGGGGACCTACGCTCTAAAGTCATAAATGACAGTAATGAGGAATATTGCCCCACAAAAGGGCACTAATATAGCATATCGACACGGTTTTGATCCTGGGGCCTTACAGTTACGAGGCCATTACTTTGCCACTGAACCATGACTGTACGCAGTGGGGGCTAGGGTAGGGGGCAGTTCCCACAAATTTAAAAAAAAAAAAAAGAAAATGCAATGAATTATCAATAATTCATTGCATTTCCCCCCGGGCCCCAACATAAAAAAATCCTCTGTATGGCCATGCTTTATGGCTCAAGGCATGGGAACACAGAAGATTTTTTCTGTTGGGGACAGGGGGGGGGGGGGGAATTCAATGAATTATTAAAAAAGGAAACCAAACTTTGAAAACTTCCTGTAAATGAAATATATGAAAATGTAAATGAATTGAAAATGAATTGAAAATTTATGTGTATGTAAATGAATTTCATATCATATGAAATAGTAATTTATGCTATTTCCAATGCTGACCTGTTTAATCTTCTAAAGTCATGCATCACTGAACACCGTTGTTTACAAATTGTTGTGCAAAATCCCGTGTTGTTCACTTACAGGCACAACGCTATAGGCATGGTGTAAACACTGTTAACAAGAAGCCTTCTGTCAAATGGCCTGGTTCTATGCTCCTTGATAATCTATAACTTCTTCTTGTTGTGCTTTAATATGAAAGTTAACCACCTTTGATTTTGCAAAATTTTGTGAAGATAATCGCATTCACTGATGCATGACCTCGGCCACTAATACTAGTCTTCATTGGAAAGCATATGAACTTCACTTTTATATGTTATAAACATCAATACCGGTAAATGCATAATCAATTAAAAGGAATTTTCTAAAGTTGTGTTCCCTTTTTTAGTTGTTTACGCCCTGTATTTTTTGGCAGCCCCTTGATTTTAATAAATTTTTGTCCCTTTTGTTCTTTCACAGGGCAGATGTTGGAACAACAATAAGAAGATGCCTTTCTTGGAAATTGGAAGACCAGATCGTTACCCATCTATGCAGGCAGTAAGGCTCTTAAGACATGGACATAAACCCGTCTGCACTGAACATCCCACTAAAGTGCGAGGTAACGCGTCATTTGTAATTGACACCCGCATTTTCAATAACTGGGAAGATGTGAAATGTGACCTGACTGGTGTATATGATGTGAACATAAGATGCGGTGTGTGGACAGTGAATTCTGAAAATGGTACAGTGATCCAGAAGAGTAAAAAGGTTCCTTTGTGTAATGGCGAAAGCTATCTTGAACAGAATATCAGGAAGAGTAAAGCAAGCCCACTCTTGTCTAGAGCAATCTTTTTGCTTCAAGACAAGAATGGTAACGTCTTGAATGATCGATGTTTGTTGCAATACATTGTAGATAATAAAGAAGGTCAGGTAGAATTTGAAGTTCCCAGGCATGGGAATTCAAAATCAAACAAACCATACTATCCATCAAAGAAAAGTGTGCACGAAAATCTGAAAAAAGTAGAAACTTAAAAGAACACAAACATGGCCTATGACAATATGCGGAAAAATGCTGTAGGGGCTCTTGCAGCAAAAACGCCATCGGACATGCCTCGTGGAAAACAACAGATATATGATGCAAGGCGTCTTGTGCAGGGCAAAACGATGAAGTTGCAGACATGCTCAAATATGCTAGAGACAAAGAGGATGTTGTTCTTTTTCATGCCGATTATCCTCAAGACCTATGGGTCCTGGGTACAAAGGCAATATGCTTGGAGATGACAAGATCTTCAACTTCAGAAATTTTAAGCTGTCCAGTCTATGTTGATCCTACATTCAATTTGGGACAGTTTGAGGTTACGCCGATCGTGTTTAAGAATGTGTTGTTACGATCAAGACGAACAGGTGAAAATCCTGTCTTTATAGGGCCAACGATGATCCATCATAATAAAACATATGACGAGTTCACTGTCCTTGCACGTGCCACAACACAAGAATCAAAGGAAATGTTGAACCTTAAGTGTTTTGTTACAGATGGAGAACAAGCGCTCCAGAAGGCATTCCAAGACCACTTTCCCATGGCAAAGAGTTTGAGGTGCTTCAAGCACTTTAACAATAATTGTAGAGATAAACTTCGGCAAATCGGCATTCGAGGCCAAAAAGATCAAGCATATTTTCTTAATGCCACTTTTGGTGTCAAAGAAAAAGTTGAAGGCATTCTAGATGCCAAAGACGAAGATGACCTCAGGAAGCGGTTAGACTCTTTCCAACAAGACTTCGCACGGAAAGAGAAGGAACTAACCAAAACTAACGAAACAAGATATTGGACATATCTAAACAAAAAATTTGACAT